AAACCATTATACCCTGATTTCCCATTTTCAATGGGTTCAGGGTATAAAAACTATTATTGTTGAATGAAAATTAATCAATTAATTATTGAAATAGTAGAATTACAAATGTGATGAAAATTCTTGGAATTATTGTAAGCATTCATAACATACATAAAACCATAATATAATTTAATTTATTAGAGTTCTCAAAAATGACTCTGCACCATCGTAATTTATTTTTGTTATTTAAGGGTCTTACAAAATCAAAACATATACTTAGCTTGGGGTGTCCATTGTTAGCCTTGTATAAACCAATTCTCAAGTACTTTCATTTCATACTCTCAATGGGTCCGCTGAGAGGTCTGCGGTTACATAGCATCCGTAACCAGCACTAAACTAATTTGCTCAGCCAACTGTTATAAAAATGCAAGCCATCGAAGACTTGAATGTGTCAACCCCTATGCCTCCAGCAATGCACCCCTCTTGCTGCCCCATCCTCCTATCGAGCATCGAGCTACTTGAGGAGAGAGAAAAAAGAAACTACAAACAATGTGCGCAATATTTGTGAGCGTAAAGAAAGTCCCCAATTGGAAAAACACATTTGTCCGCTGGCTCTGAGGGTCTGAGCGGGCATTACAATAAAATTTAATTTTACACGCTATCGTAAGCATTTCTCTATCCGCCCATCCCGTTCGAGCGCTGCTTACTTCATACGCCTCAACTGGCTAAGGCTATGGCTAATCGGCAATGTCCTTGCGCATGTTGTACATTATCCTTTGTCATGCTGGTTATCGCGGTTTAACTTTATCGTTAAGTTCGTTCGCCTCTTCCACGCGATATGAAGCATTTTTCTGGCTTGCTCGCCCACACTCTCACTCTCTCCTTCTGTCTCTTCCTCTTCTGGCCAGCTGCCCTTTGAAGTATAAGTATGTTGGCCCCTTTGGGCGCCCCGCTTGAATTTCTGTATTTATCGGCGCGCACGATTATTAGTTTTCTGTTTGCTGCTTTTGTTTTTATAGCCGGCGATTACATTTCGGTATATGTTTGGTCTTTAGGGCTGGCCGAAAATCCCCTCTCTCTCTCTCTCTCCCTTTCCCTTTCGTCTGCCTCTGCCGGCTGAGGAGCCAGCACAAAAAGATTCGCAATAAAATTTTATTTGACTTGTTTTTATTTGGCTTGAAATGAAACCCAAAACTCATTTGGTTTTTCTTTACTTTCTGCTCGGCTGTCGCTTCCGACCAGTTACAGAAATATTAAAAACTCATTGTGGATAATAATCTGGAGTTTTTTATTGTCTGAAATAAGCGTGAATTAGTGTTAAAATTATATTTGAATAGCTTTCATAAGTGTTTCGCATATTTCAATTCTTACAAATTTCATATATCTATGTATGTTTATGTATTTTATATTTAATTTTCGATTTGAGCAATTTAAGCTGAGGGAATTAT